GAAATTTATTTATGCAAGAAGGCTACTATTAAGGAAACATGCCTATCTCAAAATGAAACAGGTTGGATTAGATATTATACCCATATTAGATATGGATTAGATATTTGGAATGAGTCAGAGGATGTTCAGTAGAGCAGATCCTCAGGTGGGATACAGTGCAAGTCCCCCGTAAGATCTTCTTTTTCTAAGCCTTACTCTGGCATTAGTAAATCTGTTCACCCAATAATAAGGGACAAAATGCTACTGTCTGTCTTCGAGGAAAAAAGAAGTTCTTACCGGTTCTTGCTATTGTTACTTTCTGTTTCTTTACAAGGAAAAAGAACATCTTTCCATATTAAAGAAATTACTAAGTGCACTTGGCAAATTTCAACACAGCTGCATGAACGTTGTGAACAATTTACTGGGAAACGAAAAAATGCCAACATCACAGCAACCCCGATTCCTCTTACCAAACCTTACTTTAAGTTGGTGTAACTGTTGATTCTGGAGAGAAGGTTACGAGGCTACGGCATCTGGGTGCACCGCCTACCAGCCGGGCTGCGGGCAGGTGTGTGCGCCGGTTCCGGACACTCGCAACCCTGTTACTGAGACGCAAAATCCCACCGTAGCTAACTTTTAAGACAAACAGCACCTTCTTACCGGAGCTCTCCCGCAGCACCGGCACCGACTCTCCTCCTCGTGCTCCGGCCGCCCCCAGCGCCGCGCCCGGCCCGGCCCTCTCTCCCCCGCGCAGCGCCGCCCCGCTGCGCTCCCGTGGAGTCACACAGTGCCGCCCTTTCCTCCTTCTCCTCCCAAACTCCGCCGCCACGGCCGAGCATCCAAATTTGCGCCTACAGCGAAGCCGCCGGGAGGAGGGCGGGAGCTGCTGCCACCCCACGCGCCGCTCCGCGAAGTTAGGGCTTGGCTTCGCGGGCCGGGACCTCTCGTTGCCGCTGTCCCGGGACGTGCCCGCCGGTCGCGCACTCACCCGAGCGGATCGCGGCCGTCCCGGGCCGGCGCCCTGCTCGGCTCGAAGGGGCGCTCTTGTGTGCACGGGGCTGTGATGTGTGTGCGGCACAGCATTTTCCTCCATGACGTGGAGGAAAAAAGACGGGCAGCCTCCCGCCCCGAAACCTGGCGGGCAGGACGAGGAGGACGAGTGGGAGGTGACGGTGAGGTCCCCGCCAGCACCTGGGAGCGGGAGGAACCCGCCGCCTCCACGCCGCCCCTCCGGCAAACGCGGCACCGACTTCCCCAAGACTGCCCTTCGGGGGCGGAGCGGCCGAGGAGCTTCCCAAACACTACAGCCGGCTCGACCGGGCGGCAGGACAGAGCTAGGGCAGGGCAGGGTTGGGCTCGGGACGAGTTCCCGGCCTAGGCTTCTTGTCCTCTTCTTGGCTGCCCCGGGAGCGCACAGCCGTGAAGAGGTCGCTGCGGTCCCGGGCGGGTGGGTACGAGGCGCGGCAATAGCTGCAGCTCTGAACTAATAAGCTGCACCCTGGCATTAAGCCTCTGCTTTACAGCAGGTTGGTTGAGGCCGTTTTAATATTTTTATTTAGCAGTAAAATAACCTGCGGCTGCACTGGAAGACTGCAGCTCCCCAGCCACTTCCAGCTTAAGGCTGGTGTTTTAAGGTTAGGCCAAGCTGTTGGCTCTGCTCGCAGAGAGCCTCGGGCCCTTGGTGCACCGGCTCGGTGAGAAATGTGGAAGACGCCACAGCACCGGAGAGCATCTGTCTGCTGCTGTAGCGCTGACCCTGCAGCTGAGTACCGCTGTGACAGCTCGGCTTAAGGCTGGTAATTGCATAAGCCACTGTGACCAAGTTATATGTAACTGGGTGTTTGAGCTCTCACCACAGAAATGTGTAAATGCAATTAAAAGGCCACAGATGCTGGGAAACTCACCTGTAGGTTACTCTGCAACACCAGTATTGGTGTAAATGGTAAAACCTCCTGCCACAGAAAAGCCAAAGCCTTGTTTAAAAAAAAAAAAAAAAACAACCCACCCCAACAAAAAACCCCACATCCATAACTCAGAAAAACATAGATACAAAAATCACATAAAAAGTTATTTGAATCCTGTTCTGAAGTCCCATTCCTTAGAAATGTTTTACTCCCTTCCTGTGTCATGTTTTTCTTGATATGGCCAGTAACTTAGCACTTCAAATGTCAGATCACCCACATCATTTCCTACTCAACTAGTTAACTAACTACTGGTGATAAGAATAAAGGGCCCAAGTCTCATGTAGGCAGTTGCTCAATATATTGATTTGAACAGAGTATTTTCCTCCAGTTTAGTATTAAGCTTTGAAGACCAGGAAAAAAAGTCTTTGTGTCATCATGACAAAACACTTGCCAAATTCAACTGCTTCAAGAATTTATCCAAACTCCTATGGCAACATTATTCATCCCTCTCCCTCCCCCTTAGCTGCATTTCCACCATCAAAACCCCAAGCAGTATTGCCTTAGAGTACAGTAAATACCTTTCTCAAGGCTGGCTTTCATTCCCATTATTCTCTTCCCTGACCTGTTCTGCTTTGCCTGGCAAGAAGGTGCAATGTTTTGTGTTGATCCTCTGCTTAGAATGACTTCAGCTCTCTCTGCACCTGCCTTTACTTTTTTCCTCTTCTCCATGTGTTTCCCTTGCTTACAGAGCTTCATGACCTCTGACCTCTGTTACTCAGGAGGTCACACTGGCTCCTGCTGGCCTTAAAATCTATGGATCTTGTGTTATATTGTCTGCCTCCTGCTTATCTCCTCCTCATTCTTTTATTTTGAATCTTGCATTCTTCCTTACTGGTATTAATCTCCCCACTGATTTTTTTTTTTTTTTAATTCCATGTCAGCAAAAAATAAATAAATAATTCTGCAGAAATGTGAATCTGAATTTTTTGCTTCTTGCATCACCTTTTTCTCCTTTTATTCTCCATGTGAATATTAACAGCAGTCAGAATGCCAGGAGTTTTAATATTTGCATTTTAGATCCTTTTTTACTTTATCCTGCACCACATGAAGTAAGTGCAAATTCACAGCCTAGGAGTAGAGAAGAGGTCTACTAAATAAAAGAACTGAATCATGAAAGCAGCAGAAGGGGCTGGGAGGGTGACCTGCCACACGTGAGTAGAAGCTTTGTTACTCTGCTGCAGTTAGCATCACTAAGAGCTGCCCATCTTTCACCAGTGACAACCACTTATATTTTTATGCAAAAGTACACTTAAAAAAGCATACATTTAAACTGGGAAAACATGATGGTTTAAGCTTTTTCTTTCTTAATGGATCTTTACATTAAGATCAAAGGATTCCAGCAGGGAGATTAGAGAATATTCAGTTTTAAGATCTGGGGAGCAGAATCCTACATTTGTTAGTCATATTAAGCCATATGTTGACAAGCTAATGCCTTTTTCAAGATGCTTATATAAAACTGAAAAACTGAAAAAAGCCTCAGTGGTAGATTACTTTTACATACAGCATCTGTAAGAGACAGTGGTGTTCATGTAGCACTTTGCATTTTTACCTCTTTGCTCAGCTTGCTCACTCAATTTTCTGTCACTGTATCTTAGGATTGCCTTAGGTCATGTAATCACATTAATATAATAAACCAAAATAGTGCTGTCAAGTTCTCCCAGGTTTTGTACATTAATTTTATTAGACATCTTGCAACAAAGAAAAATGTACAAACAAACATGTAATTCAGAGGTCATTTTAACAGTCAAATACCTTTTACTTTTCAGTGAAAGCACAGTATTTGAATGAGCCCTTCCTTTGAAACAATATGCCTTCAGGTTTGTTTTGCTGCTGCAGTTGTGAGAACACTCCATTTTCTTTCTTGCAAAACTGACTTTACAAAATACCCGTCACTCAGCAGCTTTTACCTTTTCTGACTTCCAGGCCATTGGCATTTCTTTATCCTTACAGCCCATCAGGTTATGATTGCTCATGCATTCTAGGGCATAGTACTAGCTCTCTGCACATCAGAATCCTCTCACTTCCCTAAACCAACTTCTGTTTAAGACACTAATCAGATCTTTGCAGAAGAGCTCTTCACACTCCAAACAGCTTGCTGACATTATGTATTAACAGGAGATACTTCCCATCCTATTCACTAGAGTTAAGAGTAGCAGGTACTATTATTCCATCTCTTCTTATAATCCAAAGAAAGAAAGAGCAAGAATATCAGCTGAATGCAGATAACTCTCTTAACAGTCAAGTCTGTTACAAATATGCTGCTAAAGCAGATTCAAACATTGTAAAATTTAAACAAATAGAAATCTCCCAGAGATTGGGATGAATATCTAAGATGCTGTTACCTGTAAAAATTCATGTTCCACAAACAGGCTAATTGCATTTCCTGTCATATGCCAGCACGTTTTCTGCCTATCAGAGAGATTTGGCTCGAACATGAATGGAATTTTCCTGAGCACTTCCAATGCCTAAGATTCCTCTTTTAACCTCTCTGAGCACCTGTCCCCCTTCTCAAATGTTTTTATGTATATATATGCCACATAAAACAAAGCTGATGATGATTTTCAAGGCTGCTCATCTTGATTTTTTGCCTAACCTAACAGTTTATGTTACTACACAAACAGGCATTGCCATTTCTGATAGCACATGCTCAGCCACAGCAGTTTCAGGTTTAGGTGAAAGAAGCGACTGTGAGTGTTGATGCCTGTCTTTTTCTGTCCTGCCCCATCAAGCATGGGCAGTTACTTTAATCTTAAATAAAAACTTAAAAGTTCATATCAAGTAATCAACCTGGAATATAATTCACAATGAGTATCAGTGTGTAAGTCCTATCTACTTCCCCATTTCTTAATCTTGCAGTGCAAGAGTAAACATTGACAGTTATCTTTGCCTGCTACTAAGTACTTCCCTGTTCCTCACTTACCCAAACAAACTTTCTATCATCCCAAGTGCTGGACAAATGATTTATCAAAATGACAGCAGCAAAGTAATTAGTTCTAAAGTTCAAATGTTTACTTGTAAGTGATGGCAAAGAAAAATGTATTAGCACTCAAGAAGTCTTTAGAATCCAAAATCTTTGCATTCTTTATAGAAACTCCAGTGCTTTTCCATTGCAGAGCACGGTAGAAACTCCTCTTTATGTGCCATTACTATCTCATGGAATTGAAGAAAATGTGTCAGGCTTTCCATTGAGTTGAACTGGACAGAAGAGCCTGTTGAAAATGAATGCAAATAATTACAGAGTGTAAATTAGATTAATGGAAAGCAATCACTGGCACTATTACCTAAAAAGATGTTTGCAGTTTGTGAGAATCTTGCAAATCTTAGTGATCCTTAAGAGTCTGTAATGTACCCTAGGAGTCTTGTGGGGTAAGACTTGTGATACCTTACCAGTATGTCTCAATCAGACCCAGTCTTCAATGAGACAAGGGCCACACCACACCTCCTGGTGCCTAGCCTAGGAAGCTAGCCATCCCAGACACTTCCCATTATATAATAGGAAAATGTAGTTGTTCTTCAGTACTGCTTGAATTTAATGTATTATGTCTAAAAAGAGACATGTTCAATGTACTTCCCCAAAATAAGGAATCTCTCTCACAAAGAATGCCCATCCTGAAACAACTTTATAAAAAGAAAGTGTAGACATGTACAGAAGGAATTGCATGACTGAACTATAGGTATTTTCAATATTTGAGTAGCTGCTGGACTGAATTAACTATTGCAATGCATAAATTTAAATTACTTTTGTCAGAACAGGAGAAGCTGAACTTTTCTCACTGTTAAAAATCAGTAACAAAGTAACATTGTAAAGATCCACCAGTAAGAAATATTAGAAGACATTGATCCATAACACCACAGATTCCAAAAGGCACTTGGAATTTCAGATTTCAGAGTTACTTGCTTTCATGCATCTTTCATCCCCACTTCCTCCCTTCAGTATCCTTGCACAAAGTAACACAGTTTCTGAGCTGCCACAACCAGCCCAACACAGAAAACTGCCAGTGAGGGCAGAACTGTCACACATAGCAGATGGTGTCAAGAGAGAGAACTCTCATGAAAGTGGAGATGGTTTCTGTTTAAAAAAAAAAAAAAAACAATAAAAACCTACAACAAAACCAAAATAACAAACCGCAACAAAATATTGTGTCCAAACAACATTCAAATATCCTCAAGAAGCATTTCAGGATTATTAGATCAGTCAAGATAAATCCTTGTCAAAAGGCAGAAAAAACAGGTTTGAAGTGACATCAGTTGGCCATTTAGCTTGTACTTATTACTGGGCTATCACATGCCATCCAAGAGTCTTTCTTTGGTACCACCACTTTTCATTTCTGTCACCTACACCAATTCTAAGAAGAAAAATATACTCACTGAATGGACAACATCAATGGTGCCAGTGCTAAAACAAACAGTGCTATATGCAGGTGTTAGATCTTTTAATTCCATGTCTTGGTGACCATTTTCCTGCCATTTCCTGAGTTCCAGGAGCACATCACCCAAAGCCAGCAAAGCAGCAAATTGCTACTAGAAGAGAGAGGTTGGTGTTCAGAGGTGCAAATAGTCTTGTGTGTCTTACAAGCTCGGTGCTGCTCAGTACACGTAACACAGTACATAATGGAACAAAATGTATGCTCTGATATCTGGAATATATTTAAGTATCACTGACTGCAACAAAGATGGGCAGGCTGCACACTAGACCAACGTGGAAAGTTACATCACAACACTCCTCACACTTATGAAGCAGCAGTTAGTCACACCAGAAGAAGCCAACTTATACACTCATTTAGAAGTGATGTTTTAAAGGGTACAAGGAATGCTTGGATAAAAAAAAAATCACAAAATAGTTTTAAAGACAATTTCAGGTAAAAATTATCATAAAGTATGCCTGCAATTTTTTTAAAAGAAAATAAACTGGCAGAAACTGAGATGATAAAATTTCATTAATGCTGAGTATACAATGGCATTACAGGCATGACTTCAACCTGCTCTAGTTTGTTGAAAAAATGTGCTTTTTTTTGTTCTGAAATTTCCACATTTTGTATGCAAGTAAAAGGAAAATGCTTAGCAAAGCCTGTAACTAATTTAACACCTGTATTGATAGATCACAAGTGGAGAAAAGATGCTGTTTTCTTACTTTGGAAAGGCTCTTCTCTGTACTGCAATGATTTAACTTACTGACTAAAAATTCTCAACTCAAATGTGAAGTGTAAGAGAGATAAGACCAAATACATATATTGAAGTCACCTTTTTTAGCAGCAACTTTCTTTGTTGATTTCTTTGTGTCAAATTTATGTTTTACCTACGGGATTAACATTTTGTCGATTAAACATCACTATTCCACCATAAGTACTTTACCTAAGTGAATAATTAACATATCTAATCTCTATATTCTCCACTTCTCAGTAATTTTAGATTACTGAGTTAACAGTTAACATCTAGTAAAACCACAGTAATTTATACATCCTAAAGCTGCCTTTCTCAGTTCTGCCACCAGTGTTTGATAAAAAAGTTTCAATATCCACAGACAGTAATTTTCCCCAGTAGGTATGAGTCAGTATTTTGGTTCCCGTGTTTCTTCTTCTGACACCAATGATTTCTTTTCCTTTGCATTTTTCTTTCTCAAGTCTTTCTCCCCTTTCTCTCTCCCTTTGCTACTATATTTAATCTTCTGATATGCACTTTGATGTTTCCTTCCTGCATTTTGCTGACTGTTAACTCTAATCCCCTTAAAAAAGATTGGCAGTTTAGAGGCTGTAATCAGCCAAGAAAGTTTCCTATACTGTTATCCAAAACTCAGTGCCTCAGGTACAGAAGCAAACTTAGTAAATTTAGACACATAAGCAGGGCCTTTCTCTGTTTTTCCACCCTTGCTGTCCTATTCTGTCAGTCTTTTATCATCTTCATGAACAGTAAGATAAAGTATCAATATCAGAATGAGGGTGTTTTTTCAATAAATATGGGGAAAACACATGTTGTCTCTTGACAGCTTTTCCATCCTGCTTATCAACATCCCTTCTGTCTTTGAAGGCAGCTATTTTAGTCTTATAGTTTTGAAACTACTCTAAATATTTTCAACTTGTGTTTCCATTTTGTTGCATCTCTACCAGTGCTTGTCTGCTGTGGCTGCTAAGAATCTGAAAATTGTATTTAAGGAGAATTTCCATTAATGGTACAACTGCATGAATGTCAGACAGACTATAATCTCCAGTTGCATAAGCGTTAGTCAGTGAAGAGGAAATTGTCACTTCAGTGCAGAGTTTCTGATGCACTTCAGTGCATTTTCTGATCACTCAAATAGCTCCTGAAAGACCAGGTCTTAAAAATCTCAATAGTATCTACCTTATTTTTCCCAAGCAAGAAGGTATGGGAACTATCCAAAAACTGGGTTATGTATTTTACAATTATCTTACTGGTGTAAATTATCTGTAAAAGAATTTAAATGCTCTTGTAATTTAGGCAACATATTTGAGTAAATTTACAAGGATCAGTAAATCCAGTTTCAATGCTTCTATAAGACAGGTAATGCTGATTATCAGATCTGAGGGAAAGATTAACTGATTTGCAGTATCTGGCAAAGCCACAGGAGATTTTACTCTTCTGAGACTCAAAAGGATCTGGTTCAGCACAACTAGCCTAGACACAGGCAACAAATGCGTAAGCAAAAAGATCTAAGAACAACACATTTAAAGGTGACAGTATTTGATCTAAACTGCCACAGCAGAATATTAATAGAACAAAAATCTGTCTTAAGTGCCTTCAAGTTTCTTGGGCCTCATCCACACTCCCCTCAAGAACTTAGAAAAGATCAGTCACAATCCAAGGGTTCCAACAGGCATTGTCTATTTAGACCAAGTAAGGCCTCAGAAATGACAGCCAGCACTTCATATAAACAACATTTTTGGGCCTTCTGAATCTTTAAAAAAAGGCTGCTACTGGACTGAGGCACAATGATGCTGCCCATGCTAGTAATAATTTTGAAAATAACTTTTTCTTTCACGTTAAGTGTTCCTTTTACCTATTACATTGAACCTGGACACTACCTGGATTAACACCTGAAATTTAATAACTAAGCTGAAAAGTTCACCAGGGCAGTTCAATATGGTACTGGTTCATTATATTCTACAATTATTAAAGAAAAAATAAGAAATCTCAGTTAGAGGAATAGGAGCTTTTTACTAGTTTAGCCTGAAACTAAAGTTTTCCTATGCCTTATTTCCCTTTAATCCAGACACATGGCCTGGTACATATAACTCTTACTCTCTCCTAAGATTAGAATGTATCACTGGTTTCTGTTACAGAGAGAAACTTTACTTAATATTTTCCTGAGGCTTGAATGAAAGCAAGTAACTGCCTTTTGTGTTCTTCAGGTTTTTAAAAATTTGTATTCATGACCTATCAAATGGAAAGAAAAGCTGGTCGAGACCTGGTATTTTGGAAGAAGACGTGTGTGGACAGATTGCCATTGCAAGACCAGAACTTTATCTGACAAAACATAATGTTTTCCCAGTAATTTAGTAGTTTTTTCCCTCTAAATTCATTCACTTTTTTCAGGTCTCCCCAGAGTTCTTGATTCACTTTGTATGACATAGATGTCAATTCTTTTCTTCTCTTGTAAATGCTGAAGTCCATAGTGTCTGTCCTTACAACCAATCAGTAAGGAGAGATCTTCTAATGAACAGATCAATCATGTCATCAGACACCTAAAGTTAAAGTGGTGTCCACCCACTACAAGATACAGGCCAGCAGGAATTTTGACTAACTTCATTGTGATCCTTTGTGTTCATCTCCGTCCCAATGTTGAAAGTACGTTTTCCCCAATAATTAATCTATCAAGTGACCTAAATCATGACACACTGCATTTTTTGCATTGGTAATTATGGACCTTTGAAAAAAATTATCAAAGGTTATTCATAGCATCATAATAATAAATAAATGATTTCAGTTTGGAAGCTTCTTAATGGATTATAATGACCAGATAACTCATAGAACAGCTATAACAGTGCCAGAAGGACATAGAGCACCTCCTGATAGTACCTTAGCTTATGGTTTCTTCACACATCAGGCATGACTCATCATGGATGATCTATAGGTTTAGTTCATCATCTGCATATAAGTGAAATCTGTATAGCAGTAATGTGGAATTTAATTCATACTTTCACAATTCATTATTTCATTCCATTCCTTCTAGATAAAACTGCATATTTGAGAAAGA